ACCCCAGGGCGTCGCAGGCACTCTCAACCACATTGGTAAATGTCATAGGAAGAGTGGGGGGAGAGAGGGAGGGATGGGAAGGGTGGAAGAAGGGATGGGGGTACTGGAATGGGAGAGAAACCCTGGCCCCTCAACCCCCATCTCCCTCCTCTTGCAACAGTCACGTGACATATTCAACCCCCACCACCACCACCCGGTTGAGAAACTCTGCTTTAAGGAGTGGTGCCCAGCCAATCCCCCCTCCCCCCAGCCTCCCCCTCTATCTACTTCACCTCTCCCCCCCCCCTTCCTGCCTACCTCTATCTCCCTCTCTTTACTTTCTCTTTTTCCTCTTCTCCATCTCTCATCTCTTCATCTCCCTCACACAACGCATCATTCCACAGGGTTTAGCTTAAAATTATTCCATCATTCTTAATATCATCATTAAAATCAGAAGGTGAAGGAAAAAAAAGAATATATGTGTCAATTAAAACTCAAATTTTCGGATCTAACCTATTTCTTTTCTCAAGGTGCTGGATACAATTGAGAACATTGTATACAGCATCTTAAAAACACTGTATACAACACTGAGAAAATAAATAGGTTCCGCAGGCGATGAGTCACAATAACGTGGCTGAAGTATGTTGACCAGACCACACACTAGAAGGTGAAGGGACGACGACGTTTCGGTCCGTCCTGGACCATTCTCAAGTCGATTTGAGAATCAGAGCCTTAAAAGGTCATTTATTTGCGACTGTTTTACCGTGATTCTCTGTAATACAACAGGATTTTCCACATATTTTTCCTTTTTCAGTGCTGTAGACTGAAGTGACCAAGCATGGTAATGTTTGGAACTGGATTTGTGAGGGTTTCTATGCAGTATTTTATTTTCATTATTTAGTTTCTGAACTGATGAGAACCTACATCTGATGACACGCAAACTAGGACAAAACAAGATATAGTTTATTTCGAGTCTCAAGTCGATTTGAGAATGGTCCAGGACGGACCGAAATGTCGTCGTCCCTTCACCTTCTAGTGTGTGGTCTGGTCAACATAAATAGGTTACAACTGAAAATATGGGTTTTAATGGACAAATATATTGGGTCTTTCCTTTAGCTTCATTCAGGCACTACGGCATTGTAGTTTCTTCTTAAAAATCCATTTTCAAGACGCCACGTGAGGCTGAGAATAAGTGCTTGGACACTTTATACTATATCTGACACCTTTACAAGGGGCCTGACAGCTGAGTGGAGAGCACTCGGGATTCGTAATCCTGAGGTTCCGGGTTCGATCCCGGGTGAAGGCGGAAACAAATTGACAGTTTCTTTCACCCTGATGCCTCTGTTTACCTAGCTGTAAGTAGGTAAATGGGAGTTAGATAGCTGCTACGGACTGCTGCCTGGGGGTGTGTGTAACAAAAATGAGGCCTGGTCGACGACCGGGCCGCGGGGACGCTAAACCCCGAAATCATCTCAAGATAGGATACCGACCACTTCACGTCGTCTTCAAAGGCTAGATAGACGACCCAACACAACCCGGTAAACTGAATCGGTTTGGCAGTCTTTCTTTTTTTGGGAAGACTTTTGGGAAGTCTTTTTCTGAAAGACTTTTTCTTTGACACTTTTTTAGCAGGTGGTCTTTCCGGTAGGCGGTCGCTATACACGGCGATCAGTCAGCAAGATGACTGACAAGTAAACTAAACACCTCGACTCCAAAAATCGACTCCAAAGTGAAATACAAATGTTTATATCTAAGACATTCTCCAAAAGAAACATAAAAACATTACAGATTATTTAAAATTTGAGATTGTAAATTCAATTTCAGATGTGAATACTTGAATTGAATTGAGTTTTATGTACGAATAATAAGTGGAAAAACAGAGCTCATATGTAGTGATGGACCACCCATATGTAGTGATGGACCACCCATATGTAGTGATGGACCACCCATATGTAGTGATGGACCACCCATATGTAGTGATGGACCACCCATATGTAGTGATGGACCACCCATATGTAGTGATGGACCACCCATATGTAGTGATGGTCCATCAATATGTAGTGATGGTCCATTAATATGTAGTGATGGGCCACCAATATGTAGTGATGGGCCACCAATATGTAGTGATGAACCACCAATATGTAGTGATGGACCACCCATATGTAGTGATGGACCACCCATATGTAGTGATGGACCACCAATATGTAGTGATGGACCACCAATATGTAGTGATGGACCACCCATATGTAGTGGTGGACCACCCATATGTAGTGATGGACCACCAATATGTAGTGATGGACCACCCATATGTAGTGATGGTCCATCAATATGTAGTGATGGTCCATCAATATGTAGTGACTGGCCACCAATATGTAGTGATGGGCCACCAATATGTAGTGATGAACCACCAATATGTAGTGATGGACCACCCATATGTAGTGATGGACCACCAATATGTAGTGATGGACCACCCATATGTAGTGATGGACCACCAATATGTAGTGATGGACCACCAATATGTAGTGATGGACCACCAATATGTAGTGATGAACCACCCATATGTAGTGATGGACCACCAATATGTAGTGATGGACCACCCATATGTAGTGATGGACCACCAATATGTAGTGATGGACCACCAATATGTAGTGATGGACCACCAATATGTAGTGATGGACCACCAATATGTAGTGATGGACCACCAATATGTAGTGATGGACCACCCATATGTAGTGATGGGCCACCCATATGTAGTGATGGACCACCAATATGTAGTGATGGACCACCCATATGTAGTGATGGACCACCAATATGTAGTGATGGACCACCAATATGTAGTGATGGACCACCAATATGTAGTGATGGACCACCCATATGTAGTGATGGACCACCCATATGTAGTGATGGGCCACCCATATGTAGTGATGGACCACCAATATGTAGTGATGGTCCATCAATATGTAGTGATGGGCCACCAATATGTAGTGATGGGCCACCAATATGTAGTGATGAACCACCAATATGTAGTGATGGACCACCAATATGTAGTGATGGACCACCAATATGTAGTGATGGACCACCAATATGTAGTGATGGACCACCAATATGTAGTGATGGACCACCAATATGTAGTGATGGACCACCCATATGTAGTGATGGACCACCAATATGTAGTGATGGACCACCCATATGTAGTGATGGACCACCAATATGTAGTGATGGACCACCAATATGTAGTGATGGACCTCCAATATGTAGTGATGGACCTCCAATATGTAGTGATGGACCACCAATATGTAGTGATGGACCACCTATATGTAGTGATGGACCACCAATATGTAGTGATGGACCACCAATATGTAGTGATGAACCACCAATATGTAGTGATGGACCACCAATATGTAGTGATGGACCTCCAATATGTAGTGATGGACCACCAATATGTAGTGATGGACCACCTATATGTAGTGATGGACCACCAATATGTAGTGATGGGCCACCAATATGTAGTGATGAACCACCAATATGTAGTGATGGACCACCAATATGTAGTGATGGACCACCAATATGTAGTGATGGACCACCAATATGTAGTGACGGACCACCAATATGTAGTGATGGACCCCTACATGTGTACATCCCCACCGACTATGTGTCAAGTCTAGACCCAGACATGAGTGTCTCCCACCACCGGCCTGACAGTCTGTAAACATCTTCATAAAAGCAGAAGTGACACAGGTGTCACCGCTGTCACAGTTGTGTCACCTGTGTCACAGCTGCGTCACCTGTGTCATAGCTGCGTCACCTGTGTCACAGCTGCGTCACCTGTGTCACAGCTGCGTCACCTGTGTCACAGCTGCGTCACCTGTGTCACAGCTGCGTCACCTGTGTCACAGCTGCGTCGCCTGTGAAATTTGATCAAAAATCAATTCCTCAAATCTCATCTTTAACGTAATGACTTGTTCAATGAAAGATTAATCCGGAGACTCAAGTCATCCTGACCAAGACACCCAAGGCTTAACTCCTAACTACCAAATTCGCTTTATTTAGTCTATCGACCAATCCGTTTAAAATGGGACGTATTAGTAACTATCAAACCATCCTAATAATTGATGGTTTCTTCAATGCCTCGATGGGTTAGGTGGGTTGCTGCGGTTCATAGGTTTAGGGATAGGAAAAACAAATGTGTTTTGACAGTGGGAAACCTGAGACCTGACTGACCATTTATCACTGTGATCGGGGCAGGGAGGCACCAGCTTGCCGAAAACACGTGATTTCACGTGTTCACGTAAATATCACGTTAAATCACGATAACAAAGTGCTCACACACAGTCACATCAGTGATTAAATTATCGTCATCCCCATTAATAAGAAAAACTGTCACCCCAGCAACACAAAACTCTACAGCAAAGGAGAAGCTAAGACAAGACGTCTTCAACATAAAGGTCCAATAAATATTTCTCAAGCACTAACAAGGAACAAATATCCCCGAGGGAGGAGTTATCTTCACCCTCCAAGATATGGAGGTTATCTTGAGATAACCTCCATGTCTCCATGTCATGGAGGGTCAAGATTCTTCATTCTCCAACACGAAGGAATTTCCTGACCAAGAAAATTGACTCAAAATCCTCTGACAAGACTTGCACAAAATTTTCGCAAGCTCAAGAAACAATCTTTAAAGAAAGGTTGATAAACACTCGTTAAGGAGACTGAAGGGTGGACTTACCGGTGGAGGCGCTGATGTCGAGTGATACTTAAGAGGTTATAACACAGCTGGTCCTTGAAATTCTTGCGGTCGACGATCACTCAATGTACAGTTTCTATGGAGTTAAATGACGTTGTTATACTCCTTTCCAGGGCCAATTGGTCTTGATGTTGTTTCAGAGCGACTCTTAACATCTTGGGGAAAGAATATTCGGATAGACACACACACACACACACTCCACACACACGTACACTCCACACACACGTACACACACACACACGCGCACGCAAGTTGAGAATCTTGAGAGTGCACTGACCGTGGCGGGAGTGAAGGCATGAAGACCGTCCGTGCTGACTGCCCGAGAGAGACTGGCAGCATGCTGGTGGTGGAGGCGGACGGGCCCTAGTGGCGACCCAAGCTGCTGCTGCTGCTGCTGCTGCTGGCACACGAACCTGCAGACAAACAACAACGTTCCTCTCATCAGTCTCGCACTCTGCTCATCACCAAACGTTTCATGTACGCCCCATGTCCTCCTCTGCTTTGGCTACCTATTCGTGTATTTTGTAATTCCCTCTTGACTGCTGCCAGCTCGGAGACCTATTGGCCGGGTGGAAAAGTTTCTCTTTGTCAGCGCTCTGTCTTGTTGTTCTTCTTCTACACTTCGAAGGAGACAACAGGCGGGGACATGGCAGGAGAAGAGAAACTATATACACCTCCCCTTATCGTCTCCAAAGGTTATTAAGCACTCAAGACCTAAACAATGTAACAGAATGAGACCTTCCCTCCACCCTCCCCTCCACTGCTGGGATATTCCCTCCACCCTCCCCTCCACTGCTGGGATATTCCCTCTACCCTCCCCTCCACTGCTGGGATATTCCCTCCACCCTTCCCTCCACTGCTGGGATATTCCCTCCACCCTCCCCTCCACTGCTGGGATATTCCCTCCACCCTTCTCTCCACTGCTGGGATATTCCCTTCACCCTTCCCTCCACTGCTGGGATATTCCCTCCATCCTCCCCTCCACTGCTGGGATATTCCCTCCACCCTCCCCTCCACTGATGGGATATTCCCTCTACCCTCCCCTCCACTGCTAAGATATTCCCTCCACCCTCCCCTCCACTGCTGGGATATTCCCTCCATCCTCCCCTCCACTGCTGGGATATTCCCTCCACCCTTCCCTCCACTGCTGGGATATTCCCTCCACCCTCCCCTCCACTGCTGGGATATTCCCTCCACCCTTCCCTCCACTGCTGGGATATTCCCTCCATCCTCCCCTCCACTGCTGGGATATTCCCTCCACCCTTCCCTCCATTGCTGGGATATTCCCTCCACCCTTCCCTCCACTGCTGGGATATTCCCTCCACCCTCCCCTCCACTGCTGGGATATTCCCTCCAGCCTCCCCTCCACTGCTGGGATATTCCCTCCACCCTCCCCTCCACTGCTGGGATATTCCCTCCATCCTCCCCTCCACTGCTGGGATATTCCCTCCATCCTCCCCTCCACTGCTGGGATATTCCCTCCACCCTCCCCTCCACTGCTGGGATATTCCCTCCACCCTTCCCTCCACTGCTGGGATATTCCCTCCACCCTTCCCTCCAATGCTGGGATATTCCCTCCACCCTCCCCTCCACTGCTGGGATATTCCTCACACAAAATACTACCGTAACAATTGAATATGAACACCAGAATACAATCTTGACAGATGTGACAGGAAACACCGGCTACAGGGTGGGGTCAGCCTGTACATCAAACACACACCCGATCATCTACACTGAGCTGCTGAACACCACAAATGATGGGGTGGAAGTGCTGATAATCAAACAAACTCGAAATAAACTAAATTTTGTTTTGTCCTAGTTTGCGTGTCATCAGATGTAGGTTCTCATCAGTTCAGAAACTAAATAATGAAAATAGAATACTGCATAGAAACCCTCACAAATCCAGTTCCAAACATTACCATGCTTGGTCACTTCAGTCTACAGCACTGAAAAAGGAAAAATATGTGGAAAATCCTGTTGTATTACAGAGAATCACGGTAAAACAGTCGCAAATAAATGACCTTTTAAGGCTCTGAAAATTTACCTTAAACCAACAGACAGTTAAGCCGACTAAAAATGAACAACTCTTAGGCCTTATTTTCATAAACAATGTCGAACTGATAAAACCTAAAATGATTACAAATACACATGTTACTCAGACAGTAATCTAATCGAAGTTTAGACAGGCTTAGACCTGTGATGCCCTATTCAAATCCAAGGAGGAAAAATCATGAAAGAATAGGTGAAGATTAGATGAATAATGTAACCCTAAGTCAGTGCTTCAAAAAATTAGGCACAAGTGGCACTAGACTTGTCGCTCAAGTCGCTTTTAACTAACAGAAAAAATAAGAGAAAGTAATTTGGAACGAGACGGACGACGTCCTTGTTGTTGAGGAAAACACATCCCAACTTCTCAAACGTGCCCCTCTCTCTCTCTCTCTCTCTCTCTCTCTCTCTCTCTCTCTCTCTCTCTCTCTCTCTCTCTCGCTCTCTCTCTCTCCTCTCTCTCTCTCTCTCTCTCTCTCTCTCTCTCTCTCTCTCTCTCTCTCTCTCTCTCTCTCTCTCTCTCTCTCTCTCTCTCTCTCTCTCTCTCTCTCTCTCGCTCTCTCTCTCTCTCTCGCTCTCTCTCTCTCTCTCGCTCTCTCTCTGTCTCGGTCCCTCGCTCTCTCTCTCTCTCTCTCTCTCTCTCGCTCTCTCGCTCTCTCGCTCTCTCGCTCTCTCTCTCTCTCTCTCTCTCTCTCTCTCTCTCTCTCTCTCTCTCTCTCTCTCTATCTCTCTCTCGCTCTCTCTCTCTCTCTCTCTCTCTCTCTCTCTCTCTCTCTCTCTCTCTCTCTCTCTCTCTCTCTCTCTCTCTCGCTCTCTCTCGCTCTCTCTCGCTCTCTCTCGCTCTCTCTCGCTCTCTCTCTCTCTCTCTCTCTCTCTCTCTCTCTCTCTCTCTCTCTCTCGCTCTCTCTCTCTCTCTCTCTCTCTCTCTCTCTCTCTCTCTCTCTCTCTCTCTCTCTCTCTCTCTCTCTCTCTCTCTCTCTCTCTCTCTCTCTCTCTCTCTCTCTCTCTCTCTCTCTCTCTCTCGCCCGCTCTCTCTCTCTCTCTCTCTCTCTCTCTCTCTCTCTCTCTCGCTCTCTCTCTCTCTCTCTCTCTCTCTCGACCCCAAAACTCCAGGAATTGCATAAAATTCAGGCGAAACAAAGAAAATAAAAACTCTTCAGTGAAACAGACAAACTATAAGTTCTATGCAACATCTAGAGCAGCGTTTCCAGACCAAAATTAACATCAGGTATTGGGGTAATATGCATTCGAGATGGCACAGTCACTGATGTTAACAAAGAAGTTAGTGATATACTAACGATTCAGTAAGACTTTACAGTGAACCACTAAACACACTGAAAACCCAAACGCAAGTGTCCCCAGCCTCGAGTCCCGGATGTGAGAGTGTACCCACTGGACTTCGAAGCAATCATAGATTCGTGCATTGTGTCACAGTCTCCAAGAATTCCATATTCATCAACAAATGCAAGACATTAATATCATACTCAAATGTCCTTTGGAGACGGAGCCTCCATCCGGTGTTAACCCCGACACAGTTAGAAGAGCGGAGAGCGCGTCATTCCACAAAGGAGGCAGTAAAGCAGAAACAAATATTACAGACAGATTGCACTAGCATCAGACGTCATACAAATTTTCGACTTCTAAGAAGTAAAATCAGAGGAAGACAAAAGGCAGTAACAGTAAAGAAACAAAACAGTTTACGAGCAAAACTGTAAAATTCGCAGCTTTCGTGAAAATTTTCTACAAATGTGACGAAAATTTACCGGGGCCTGACGGCTGAGTGGACAGCGTTCGATATTCGTAGTCCTAAGGTTCTGGGTAGAGTTTCTTTCACAAATAGGCAGAGTTTCTTTCACACTGATGAGCCTGTTTACCTAGCAGTAAATAGGTACCTGGGAGTTAGACAGCTGCTACGGGCTGCTTCCTGGGGATGTGTAACAAAAAAGGAGGCCTGGTCGAGAACCGGGCCGCGGGGACGCTAAGCCCCGAAATCATCTTAAGATAACCTCAAGAAGAAGATGATGAAGTTGATCGCCAAATGCACAAGAAATGAATACACGGATTTTATCATTTTCATATCAGACTATATATTTTACCACATTATCTTTTATCCTTTATAAATGAAACTAAGATTGTTATGAGAGTAAACACTTAAAGACGCAGCAAAGTTCCAAAAGGATGCAAGTGAGGTTTTGTAATGTTCAGCAGAAAACACCAAGATGTTCAATGAAGACAAGTCCCAGCTCAAGCACTAAGATGCAAACAAAGACCTCCAAGGCAGGAACCACTTACAAAACGCCGTCAAACCGCACCTTAGTAAGAAAAAGACTCGTTTTAAGACCTGGGACTTATCAAATCCGAAGACTATGACTTTAAAGACCACAACAATGCAGTTGTCAGCACTGCAAGAAATGTGACAGGCTGGATAACAAGTACCTTGGAAACAAGAGAACAAGAGATCTTAAACCAGTGATGCTACTTAAAAGGCACTAGTTCTCTCTACAGTGGAACAGTGTAGCACACTAAAAACCCCATTGAAATACGGAAAAGTTACTGATCTGGAGAACGTGCAAAGAACATCCACTGATCGAAACCATTCAATAAAACATTCAATTACCTTTTGAACCCCCTCACACTATACACGCTGGAACTCACACACACACACACACACACACACACACACACACACACACACAACACACACACACACACACACACACACACACAAGAGGAGCTCAACAGTTGATTGACAGTTCAGAGGCGGGTCGAAAGAGCAAAGCTCAACCCCTGCAAACACAACTAGGTGAATACACACACACACACACACACACACACACACACACACACACACACACACACACACACACACACACACACACACACACACACACACAGGCTACAAGATGACCTGGATAGACTGAGTGAATGGTCCAACAAATGGCTGTTGAAGTTCAACCCGAGTAAATGCAAAGTAATGAAACTAGGCAGTGGAAACAGGAGGCCAGGCACAGGATACAGAATAGGAGATGAAGTACTTAATGAAACAGACAGAGAGAAAGATCTAGGAGTTGATATCACACCAAACCTGTCTCCTGAAGCCCACATAAAGAGAATAACGTCTGCGGCATATGCGAGGCTGGCTAACATCAGAACGGCGTTCAGGAACCTGTGTAAGGAATCATTCAGAATCTTGTACACCACATATGTAAGACCAATCCTGGAGTATGCGGCCCCAGCATGGAGCCCGTACCTGGTCAAGCACAAGACGAAGCTGGAAAAAGTCCAAAGGTATGCTACTAGACTAGTCCCAGAACTAAGAGGCATGAGTTATGAGGAAAGGCTACGGGAAATGCACCTCA